CTGTAAACTCTCTGTATAAACAGTGTCATTGTAGGAAAAGGGCGGAGGCCTAAACTGAAGGCCTAGCACACGTCTAGGGGACCTGGTAGAATCTGTGGACCCTACTCCCTGCATGTGGCATGCTGTCTCACTGTCCCATCATGTACCTACTGTCATCACTCCACACAACTCTTCCGCCCTCTTTCTGCATCGCCTATGGCTCCATGCGCGTCAGATTCATGGAGTCATCCAGATTGCAGCACTTATTGATGACTGGTTCCCTTTCATGCTGTGTAGCAGTCCCCAGGGTGGCTGTAGTTTCCACCAAGGGAATCTATTTCTGGGTTTGGGCTGCTATCAATAAAGATGCCTGAAAAAATAAATAAATAAATAAATAAATAAATAAAGATGCCTGGAGTAGGGTGCAGAGTTTCCAGGAGAGTGTGCCCCATAATGAATGCATTCCTGGAGGAATTGCTCCCTGAGTGGCCCTGATTGGTCACACTCCCATGGCAGCACAGAGGATCACACACTTTTGCCAGCACATGTGGATCACCACGTGATGTCTCCCATTCTGATGGGTGTGGGGGCTGTCATTTTGCCCTGCTCCCTAATGGCCACTGAGGTTGTTTTTCGCCAACTTATTTGCCATCTGTGTGTCTTCTCCAGTGAAGGGTCCCCATGTCATTTGCCCATTTTCTTTTTTTTTTTACTGGTACCAGGGATCGAACTCATGACCAAGCGCTTGCAAGGCAGGCGCTTATGCTGCTGAGCTAAATCCCCAGCCCATCCATTTTCAAATATTTTAAACTATTAACGGTTATTTACAAATGTAATATGTTCTAATCCCTTTTTACATATTTTGAGTTAACAAAATTTTCCCAACTAATTGATCAATACACACCTAAACTAATTAGATACAATGCTTATTGCTAAATCTCCTTCAGTTTTCCAACACTGCATAATTTAGTTAACATCCCACTTTAAAATACCAATCTGGGTTGGATGTGGTGGCACATACCTGTCATGCCAGCACTTGGGAGGCTGAGGCAGGTGGACTGCTGTGAGTTATAGGCCAGCCTGAACTGCATAGTGAAACCTTGTCTCAAAAAGACAAAAATAAAATAAAAATAAAACACCAAATCTAAGCAACATCCTCATTTGAACAATTATTATGGGGAAATCTAGCCCTCTCATGGGACAAATTCCCTTAAATGAGTATTGGTTCCATTTTTAACACAAAACACTCTCAGTAGATGATTCTCTAATTCTAGACACTGAATTTGAGAAAGTGTCTACCCTTAGGGACATGAATGCTGGTTACCCTGGAGATGTCTATGGGTTTCTGATGGGATTCACTGGCCCCAACCTACCACCAACATGGCTCTCCTGGGATCAGACCTGGCATCCTCACCTAGGCTCGACATTTCTATGGCCCTTAAGGCAGTAAATATATTTTTAATCCAGAGATTTTCCTTCCACTTCATAAAACCCTAAGAGAAGTCCTTGTTTGTCACCTAGACTGTGGAGTCTGGGCCTATGGGGTCCCTGAGAACACTCCAGGGGCCTTTTTCAGAGTAGGAGTCCCAGAATACTAGTCTGACTGCTCAACTCTTTTAATTTTCCCAAACAGTGACAGCAGCTACTCAGGATTCATCCACACCCAGCCCGTTATACAGAGAAGAGCGCTCAGCCAGCCACTCAGGTTTGCAGCATCAGCCTGGGCCTGAGGGCCAGGGGCTTAGTGATGGAGGGTGTTGGAGGGATCCCCAAGGCAGTCACTTCCCTGGGGCCAAGCCAGGCTCTTACCTCCTACCACCCATCCAGAGGCTCTGGGTCTGGTGTTCTTCATCGATCAACTAGAGACAAGCCAGCAGCTGGTCCTGCACACCTGTGAGTTCATATACTTCCCCAGTGCTAGGAAGGCACTGCCCACTCCACTTGCTGGCTAGGATTTACTGTGTATTCAGCATCATCCTCTTTAATGGGAGGAAGGGATTTTAAGGATGTGTGTGCAGCCATAACAACTGCTGGTACCACATGGAGCCAGACACAAAGCTCCCAAACCTGTCTCTCGGAGCCATCAGCAGAGGTGGTGTCCTGGAGGAGCAGGCTGCTCATTCAGCAATACTCTTAGGATCACAGGTCACACAATTCATGCAACTCAAAAGTAAGAATTACAGCCATTTGCATTCTCTTTTACCAGTGTCCTCCCTTATTCCAGACAGGGTAAAATATATGGAATACAGGAAGACAAACTAAAGTTAAAAAATGTAAGCACTGGGCTGGGGATTTAGCTCAGCAGCATAAGCACCTGCCCGGTAAGTGCAAGGTCGCAAATTCAATCCCTGGTACCAAAAAATAAAAAAAAAAAACACACAAATTTAAAAAAAAAATGGAGCCATGACATCAGGCATGGTATCGTACAGCTAATCCCAGTTTCTCAGGACACTGAAGTAGGAGGATCATAAGTTTGAGGCCTGCCTGGGCAACTTTCAAGATACTGTCTCAAAACATAGTAAAACAGGCTGGAATGTAGCTCAGTGGTAGAGCACTTTCCTAGCATACTTGGCCTTCAGTTCCATCTTTAGTACAAGCCCAGTCCTCAAAAGAGCAAATGTACTGACACTTGGAGCCCCCAGGAGATTCTACTGCTACTAGAGACCTTCAAGGACATTTAGACTGTGGCTTTGCCCTCTTCCTGGACCAGCTACTCTGCCTTCTGGTCCCCCAGGCGGCTCTTCTGTTCAGTGACACTGTCTTAGCCCTGACTGAGGACATGTGGATAGGGTAGGGGCATGCCACATTCACTGAGGGCAAAGGGACTCAGATTTCAAGCCAAGAGCTAAATGTTGAACACTTAAGTGTGATTATCAAAAGACAAAGGAAAGGAGATAGAAAGGTCCTATGCAAAAGAGTCTCAGCTGAGCTGCAGCAAGAACCGATGGGAGGAGGAACCGATGGGAGGAAACCCAAGAACCCAGAGAAGTTGGACCCATTATCCCCAAAAGGACAAAGACAAAATGGGCCCAAACCAGGTGCACAGCCACAGAGACATTTTAGATGGATGGAAACGGGGGTGGGGGTAGGGTGGATCTTATAAGCTAGGCTGGGGGTGTAGCTTAGTGGAAGAGCTCTTGCAGGGCATGCAGGAGATGCTGAATTCAATCCCTAGCACTGAAAAAAAGTAAGAAGAAAAGGAAAAGAAAAGAGATCTTGAAGGCCTAAGGAAAGGGAGGCAGGAGCCATGTACAAGTTGGTGGGTGAGGATGGAACTGGAGGATCCACAACAATGCTGAGTTTGCAGCTGGCTGAGGTGCCTGCCTACTATGGGAGGGGATGTGTGCTGACACTTCACACACACACAGCATCCTAAGTCAAAGGGTACCCCTTTCTCAAGAGATTCCTGGGAGATGGGGGTCCCTTAGACAAGGGAGTAAAATATGAAGCTTCAGGCTCAGAGGGTTCTCCAGGTACCCACAAGGTAACAACTGAAACCTGTTCCAGAGGACACCCAGGGAGGGGTGTAAAGATGCATAGTGCAGAGACAGGCATACAAAGGATTGCACAGCACATGAAGCTGTTTGTGTGTGTGTGGCACTGGGGATGGAACCCAGGTCTTCCACTGAGCAACCCCACCCCTTTTGGTATTCTGAAACAAGGTTTCACTAAGCAGCCAAGGTCTGCCTTGAGTTCAAGATCCTCTTCCTGAGTAGGTGGGATCACAGGGACTGTGTCCCCCTCCCTGGGTATCCCCTCCCTGGGTGTCCTCTGGAACAGAAGTTTCAGTTGTTATTTTGGGGATATCTGGCGTGTCCTCTGAGCCTCCTCTGAGCCTGAGGCCTCGTATTTTACTACCTTGTCTAAGGGATCCTCACTTCCCAGGAATCTCTTGAGAAAAGGTTACCCTTTGACTTAGGATGCTGTGTGTGTGATGTGTCAGCACACATCCTCTGAGTAGGTGGGATCCTCTTACCTCCTGAGTAGGTGGGATCACAGGCGTGTGCCAGCTACCCTGAATAGAAACACACAAGGACTCTCCCCTAGAACCATGACATTGACCCTCCTGATAACATGCACCTGGTGTTGATGACCTAAAGACTGGGTGAACTGGTCTTGGGAGGAGACTGGAAACACGGCAGTCAAACACTGTTTTACACAGCAGCAAATCAGTATTTATTAATTAAAATTGGATATTAAAAAAACCCAGTATAACTACAGCAGCCACCACTACTTACATTTGAAGTCTTGTTCCCCCTAGATGCAGCTAAAGGACAGTGCAGCACACGTAGGCCCTGGAGAACTTGGTAGACCACAGATCAGTACATTTTTTAAATTCCGTATGGAGGATCAAACTCATGATCACGTGCTTGCAAGGCACACACTTATCCTCCAGAGCTAAATCCCCAGCCCCAGACCAGTACATATATGTGCACAAAATGCACAGGACTGAGAATGGGGAAGAATCACAAGAGAATGAGTGGGAGTTAAAGAACAGGTGGGAAAATGAGCAATAACTTGTCCCCCAGACAGACAGGAAAACCCCAAGTTCACAGGAATTGAGTAAGTCGTCCTACAAAGAGGTGATAAAGACCTAGAGGCTGGGTGTGATGGCACAGGCCTCTAAACCCAGTGTTCTGGAAGGCTGAGGCAGGAGGATCACAAAAATTCCAGCCCAGACTGGGCAATTTAGGGAAACCTTGTCCCAAAACAAAAAATGAAAAAAGGGCAGGGGACGTAGTTCAATGCAAAGGCTTTGAGTTCAACCCCTAGTGCCGGGCAAGGCGGGTGTCCACTGGGGCTGCAAAGGTTTTCTTCTCTAGGTACCCCAGAGGCAGAAAACACACAAATAGAAATCCCACCTATCTGGTCTTCCCCACTGGGACAAACACAGTCCAGGATGCCACGTAGACCCTGGCAGGTGGGGCTGGAGTCTCCCCATCCCGAATCCTCTGAGCTCCTAAAGCTTGGTGTAGAGTCCAAGCAAGAGTGGCTGAAGACTGCTCTGAGATTCCTGACCGGTCAGACCGGCTCCACCGGTTCAGAACTGAGGTCACGGCCCTTGTCCTTCAGCTACTCCTGCTGCCGGCCGTGCGGCCCGGTGGTCAGGTGTTCCGCCCTTCCTGGGTTAGGAGGAGGTCGCCGAACTCACCCGCCGGGACTTCAGGCTTGAAGCAGCTCCTTGCCAAGGTGGAGCTTCTCTGCTCCCCCTCGGTGACCCGATCCTTCCCAGGGCTGCCCGGACCCCCCCGCGCGCTATAACTGGCGAGTGAGGAGGGCCACCGCCACCGAAGACCGGAGGCCCAGGCCGCAAGTCTCCATTCCGCCCAGAGCCAGTGAGGTCCCCGGGGATGTCTGGACCAGATTCGTGTTTTTAACTTTCGAAGGAGCATCTGCTCCGCTGAGGGCGCGAAACTTGGAGACGTCTCGGATTGGGGAAAGGAGCCCCACCTTCGTCCCTTGCCCTGTGAACCTTGACCGAGTCTCACATCTTGTACCTCACACGAAGCCAGCATTGCACCAGGCTCCGTGCCCACCAGCAGAGGCTGTACGCTCCTAGCAACGCTCAAAACGGCTGCCGCGCACGGTATCCTGGGGAATGTAGTCCTCATTCTTTTTCAACCGGGACCAAGTCGCCCCAGACTACAACTTCCAGGGTGTTCCATGCGAGCCTGATTTAGTCTCGCGAGAATTGGGTTCTGGGGGCGGGCTCCCGTGAGGGCTGTGGAGAGTTGTAGTTTCTGGCCCGAAGCCACCCTGGCCGGCGCAGGAAGAGGGCGGAGCAGAGACTACAAATCCCAGAGGGTGCAGCGCGGCAGCCAGCAGGGCAGGGACTAAGAAAGAGGAACCGGCCGGCGCGGGTGAGTGAGCAGCGGGGCCGGGTGGGGCCCTGCCGGGTGGAGCGGAGCAGGGCGGGGGCGGCAGACCGGATTTAGGCTGTTGGGTGGGGTTACCCGGGGTCGCAGGTCTGCCTGGGCCCTTTTTTCCTGTTCTAGCCCGGGATGCGCCGCGGCGGGCAGGGTGAGAAGTGCAGTGCTGGTGCCGCGTTGCTGGAGAAAGGGACAGGGAATGGAGGGACAGAGGGACTGCACGGCGAAGTGCTCCAAGTGTGGGGTTTTCTTTGGTTCGTGCGTGCCGCGAAGTGGTGCGGCCAGAGTATGATGTTCCTCAGCACCAGAGTGGGTATTCGGTGTGCAGTTTAAACGCGTGGTGTGGACACTTTTCTTACCGCGATTTGGCAAATGAAAAGAACCATTAAAATCTTTGACAATTCTTAACTCCCTAGTCCTATGAAATTTGATGGTGTTAAAGTTATGCCTCTCTCCCATTTTTCCTGTTTTATTGTAGTCTACATAGAAAGCTAAACCGAGGGCTCCTTTCTCCAAGGTTTGTTTTTGCGCTACTAGTTATAAAATCCAGGTTATCATGCATTATAAGCACCCACTTTACCACGGAACTGCACTCTGAGTTCTAGTTCCTTCTCTACTGCGTTAATCCGCAAACATTGCTGTTGGTCAAGACTGTAGAGGGAGTTTAATAATCTACCTGATCATTCTGGTTCCTGCTCCCAGTTAGGAGCCACTGAGCAGTATGTTGTGTTCAACCAAGGTCATTAATGGCCACTGTGGATAGAAGGATAGAAGGAAATAAAACTTGATTTTGCAATTTCTTTTGCTGACATACGTATCTTGCTGCCAATATATCCCAGTAGCAGATGGAACAAGCAGATGTGGTGTTACCCAAGTTACCTGAGCTGTTTGGTCTACAGGCAGTGTCCCAGGAACCCAAGACAGCTGCCTGCGCTTCCATTCATTACTCTGGTTCTCCAGGTTAACTCTGGTTTGCCAGGTAACTCACTTAAAGAAAACCTCTGGTTACCATGGCACTGAAGATTCCCCATCCTGGAGGTGGAGTGAGCTGGGTAGGCACCCAGTGGTCTGGTCCCACTTGGGTAGCACTGAGAGCCCAGATTTATCTTGGCATCTGCCATGCATCTCTACAGGCTGGAATATTATCTTTACATGTTGTTAGGTTTCAGCAAAAGATGAGGTTTTAGATTGAGAGGCCTGGGTTCATAAGACCTGGGCAGTTCTTTTTATCTTGGCTCCTTTGCTTGCTGTGAAGATGACAGCACTGCCTAGGGGGAACAGTGGAGCCTCAGCCTACCTGTGCTGTGCCCACCAACGCTCACCAAAGCTGGCCACCAACTGCTACCTCTCCTTTCCTACAGTTGCATGGCAGCTGCAGTTACTGTTAGTGTCATGTGGGTGGTTGCAGTGGCAGGGTTGTCTTGCCAGCACTCAACCCTGAAATGTGGGATTTAAGAGGCAAGAGAGACTAAGTGGGAAACAGGAAGATTTTATTTTTAGACATACATTGGCTCAGCTGGTAAATCCAAAATGACTGAGTAGAGGATGCAGGACAGGGCCCAGCTTTTATACATTTGGTCAAGGGGGTTGGCCTTTGGCATGGGACTTGTGGATGAGGAGGAGAACTAAATCATTTTGACAAGCTGTGACACTTGTATTTTCTGCTGAGACGTAACAGGATGTTATAGGAATGGGAGGTTATAAAATTTCACTCACAGAAACAGAAGTTACCCTCTTTGATACTTTATATAAATGAGTTTTAATAGCATCGCCATCATTATCATTTACCTTGTTATGTGAGGTGGGCTCCTATTGGGTCATGTTAATCTTCAAGCTTCTGCCATGTGTGGACTGGTCAGCTTCTGGACTGACTCAAGCAGGGCTGTTGTTTCCATTAGTGTCCTGATCTTGTCACAGGATCAGCTGGTTGGGTGGCCTGCCTGTCTTGGGCCATTGGTTTCAGCTGACTGTGGTGAGTTTCAGGCACAGTTCCTGTAATTTTAATGGCCATGAGGGTAAACAGTATTATAGTATGAGGCCCATCCCTATGACCCAACCCCAGAGTTGCTGGATTTCATTTTTTTTTTTTTTTGAGAGGGTACCGGGGATTGAACTCATGACCTTGTGCTTACAAGGCAGGCACTTAGGCCGCTGAGCTAAATTTCCGGCCTGGATTTCATTTTTTTTTTTTTTTTTTTTTTTGTGGTACTGGGGATCGAACTCACGACCTTGCACTTGCCATGTAGGTGCTTGTGCCACTGAGCTAAATCCCCAGCCCCATGGATTTCATTTTTTTAACCTAAACAAAGTTCCCAGGTTTGAATGAGTATATTGAGTCTGTCAGGCTTGTGGGAACTTGCTCTTGCACACAGTTATGGATATCTTACACAGTTGTTCTAAAGGTCAATTTTCCTAGTTTTTACAATGTTCTAAATTTTACCTGTGGTTGGGAGTGGCTGGCCATGCAAGACTCTATAAACGAAATTTCCAGTTTGTTTGGTGGGGAAGCACTGGACACAGAGGAGGGGTGCCCTCACACAACATTTTTTCAGCAGTTGAGTGTCTGATTCATGTGCTCTACTTTTCCAGAGCTCTGAGGCTGGTAGGCTGTATGCAGTTGTTATTTTATTTTTAACGTCTGTGTGAATTCCTGAACTGTCTCAGCCAAATCCTGGCCCACTGTCCAACCCTAAAATTAGGGCAGTCTGAACATTGAAATAATGTCATTTAACAAAACTATGTCATTTCTCATGTCTTTTCCATCTCGGTGGGGAAGGCTTCTATCCATACTGAGAAGGTGTAGACAAACACATATATCGATAGCCTCCCGTGGATGTAATTCAGAGAAGTCTACAAGCAAGTTTTCTCAGGAGGTGGCACCTGTTTCTTGAATACCTATGGGCCAAGTGGGCTCTTGTCTCAGGTTGTTTTGAATATAGGTTAGGCATTGTTTACAATCAGCTTGGGCGATGGCTGTGGCACATAAAAATGACGTTCCAGTAATATCTCCAGCGTCATTAATGACATGTACATCCCTTTGTGGTATTTTCTCAAACCTAGGGGCCGTATTACAGGGATGGCCAGTCTCCTGTCAAAAGATGTCCACCACCCTCACTTGATATAATTTCCAGATCTTTTGGCGAACCATTCCTTTTCATTTGGAGAGTAATTTGGGGTCTCCAGGAGAGGATGCTCCAGGAAGGTGGGGGCATAGCTAGGGTCCCCCCTTGTGAGGCTGTCATAGCAGCTCACTTTACTTTTGGTTTTCTCTGGCTTCCTGTTCTCTGGTGCCCTCTACAGTGTACAGTGACCACTTTTCTTGGAGCCCATATATCCTCTAGGAGCTGTAAAGTCTCTTCTTTGGATTTTATCTATTTTCACCCAGCCCGTAGGAGCTCTCTTACTGTATTTGGAGTCAGTATAGATGTTGGCCATTTTGTCCTTTTGCCAGCAAAAGAACCCTTGTGAAGATTATTAGCTCTGCCTTCTGGGCTGGGGCTGGCCGTCTACCACAGTCAAGTAACCACTGCATATTCTTTTCACGAACTCCTTTTAGCATAACCATACAGTCCCAAAGGGGGACTTCCAGTTTGATTGGGAGCAGAGTGACCAGATTTTTATTGTTTCTAGAGTTAAGTGGGGATTTTTGCATAAGAGCCCCTGATACTGAGTTATTTTTGGACTTGACAACCAATGGTGTCCTCTCTAGTCCATTAAGATTATAGCTGGCTGTGGTACCCAAATGATCAGTCAGTGTCTCAAAGGCAGCTTATTACTGGGCTGATGTATAGCTCAGTGACACAGGTGCCTGCCTGGCAAGCATAAAGGCCTGAGTTCGATTCCTGGCACCAAAAAATGTCAGGTTATTAGCCTCCCACATCAGCAAGGTGGTGACAGCAAGTGCCCTAAAGCATTGAGGCCATCCCTGTGCTGTACAGGGTCTGTTTTGACAAATATACCATTGGGTGATATTAGGATCCCACAATCTAGATCAAGACTCCTATGACATTTTTGTTTGTTTATGGACATGTAGGAAGGAAGGCTTGGTTATGTCTGGTAGTCCTAAGGCTGGGGCCCGAGTCAGGGCCTCTCTGATTTGTTTAAATGTTTTCTTCTGATCAGCTTTCCAGAGGAGGAGTTCCTTTTCTTCCTTCTTTGGTGGCTTATCTGAATACAGTTTCCTCTTTCTTTTTCTTTTCCTTCTTTTTTTGTGGGGGAGGGCTTTGGTCTGTGTCAGTCTCTTCTGTTGTGTGACCACCTCTGCTTGTAGCTGTAGCCTGTGTCTCACTGGCGTTTAGCTGTCAGTACTCTGGTCCCTGTTCAGCTTTCTCATGAGTAAATTTAGCTTTTGTATGCTGCAGGGTGTGACTTAGGCTTTTTTGTTGTTGTTGTTGTTGTTGTGCTGCGAATCAAACTCATGACCTTGCACTTACCAGGCGGGCGCTTATGCCACTGAGCTAAATCCCCAGCCCCCGTTGTTGTTTGTATCTGGTTTATTCAACTGTAAGCCTCCGTGGCTTACAATTACGGTTTCTCCAGTAACTGCAGAGCCCTCTGTTTTTTTGAGTAGTCTCAGTTTCAGCCTTCTTGTACGAGGCCAGTTTTGCTTCTGTTTAATGCTTGCATTGGTTCTCATCTGGCATTTGTTTCTGAAAGTGTTTAGCCTTCTCTTGCGCTTGTCGCTTTTGTGCTTGTCCCTTCCATCCATGTATACAGAGCCTGCAGTAGCTCATCCCTAGCTCTGCCTTGCTGGTGCTCAGTTGTCTTCAGCCACAGCTGTGCCATGTGGAGCTCTTTCTCTAGTGTAGAGCCTGTTGTGCTTGGTCCTCTTCACATTTGGGTCTTGGCTTGCATCTCTGCCTCTGAACTGTACTGCAGTTGTTTCAGCTCTTCCGAGACACTGTTTTTGGATGTCTACGGTTGGTTTTTTCACCATGTCATCTCTCCTGTGTACCGCTGTGGTTTTTTTGCTTCTGTCTCTGCTTGTTCTT